TGGAGGACTAGGTCACGCAGACAATTCTACCAGAATATTTCCTCCATCCATTTGGTTCTGCAAGGTAACCTGTGATACTACCATCTATCCTATTTTGATAATCCTTTGGCTCAAAAGAAACTGTAGAATCTGTATCATACAGTTTAAAGAAACATGATTAAAGAAAAGGGAAGACTGTATATATAATATGTAAGTATAACATGTGTCATGACTCTGTGCAGATCAATGGTATTGTCATAAATGTCAATGAAGTTGTATTTTCCCCAGTCCTGGATTTTTTTCCAATCATCTCAGCAACCCACGCTCATCTCCTGGTGAGATTTGACCTAATGCTAAGCCTTTTTCGTATTACACAAGCCAATTCTGTCAAGCTGGCGGTATGTCCATAGCCGTTGCCCTTCATTAGCAACAAGCAAATGACAGATGCTGGGCAAGAGGCTGATCCTCTCACCTTGACTTCAATCATACCTGCCCCATTTCACTTCTAAAGGACCTCCTATAGCTTTATCTACAGTTACAGGCTTGTTTTCTCCTGATGAGGGCACCGATTTTGAGGATAATGTCTCCGCATCATAAGAACTTCAGTTTAAGCTCTGTATAGTTTGGCCACACCAATTTGTTTTCTTGCCTCTTGGGCATTTTAAGGTAAAAACATTGTAAGTAGACTTCATAAAAGTAGGGGGCGGGTAGGAAAACGCATAAACCTGGCTTTTTTTCATTAATATGTTTTTCCAGTTAAATAAAATCTAAGAACTAAGAAATGCAATTGGTGTGGCCTAAGTTAGAAAACGGCTGAGCTGACAGACCCAGGGTAAATTGGCTCCGTGTCCCGTATCCGAGCCGGTTCCAACTGTCTGGTGAGAGAAGCTGAGTTAGTACAGCATCATCAGTATTCTTGGCTTTGAAGGAGAATGGGAATTAAACCCTGATGGAGCCTAATGAAGCACAGAAAAGTGTGTTTTCTCCCTGTCAGGGTGAAGGCTCTACAAATGGCACTTCACCAAGTTCTGATGAGGAACTAATTAAAAGCCCTGCATGGCTGCAGAAAACTTGTGACATCTGTCAGTGCCAGGAAAACTTCTCCCCTAAGTTTATATAATATAAAAGTGTTTCAAACTTTTCCACTGGATATAAGAACTTATTAGCCAGACGTTTCCAGTGTCATTTCAACACTCTTCATCAATTAAACAGGTAAATGAAATGTTTCTCCCCTAAGTTGTTTGATTGACTGAAAAGTTTTTTCTATATATTTCCTCCTCTTTATGTACCCATTGAGACTGCTTTGCAACATGATGAAAAATATAGACTTAGATAAAGAGACAGTTTTATTCGTGACATTAGCATTGTGAGAATTCTTCAGTTCTTAGTGATGAACAAAGTAGATGACGATAATCTAGTAATACTGAGTGATCGATGACCAGTACTGCATTTTTTCTCTGGCTCATGATTCGACAGACCGCAAAAAAAGGTTTTTAGCTCAGGCTAAAGGAACTCCGTTGAAACTTAGCACGTCTACTGTATTGGCATAGGTCCCACATAATGCACAGTCCACACAAATTACATTAGGTACAAATTTGAGCTGCGGATGCATAAGGTTAAGTGTTGTCACATTGAGATTACAACTTAGATGATCTATGCTCGTTGAACTGTTTCCTATCCCTGGAGGATCTTGACAGATGACCCTGCACAAATCGATTTTGGCAAGGCTTCAACAATAGAATGTTTCTACGTCCAACAGATGGGGCAATCTTGTATGTCTTATTTTTAGAACGCCTGACTCATGTATGGAGTCATGTGTTGTGGGGTAAAAAACGGAAGTTGCATGGACGTTATTTGACCTTAAGTCTCTGCACGAATGCCTTACAGATGTGCGTCTTTACGACAAGACTCAGCTTGCCTTTATCAGTTCAATTTCTCTCATCCATTTGGATTCATGAAGCAATGTTCTTAGCTGTCATCGCGTAGAATTGAAAAACTGATTAGCTTGCACTTTCTGTGCGCAAAAACAGGCCCCTATCTCCTCCCACCACCTGTTTTATTTAGGCTGTGTGAATGAGTTTGAGAATGCTTGTTGGCAGTTATCACGATAGGTGAGATTACAGGACTGAACTGCCTACACAATGTGACATCCTGGCTCTAATATCAGAGCCTTGTTCATTGAGGGAGTCTTGTGCGTCTGCCCCGCAGATTTGCTAGTCAGCATGCGTGCATCTATCTGAAGCATAATGACAAAGCATCGGAAGCCAAGCCAAAATCCAGTTTGGTGTGTTTGGAAAGGGCAAAATAACTGGATTGTTGTACCTGGAAAGTCCCAAGACTGCTGTCTTCTCATTAATTCCTTTGTGTAGTTTGTTCCTGTGAGGAACTACGTACCAGTATTTTTACAATGAGATTGACCCTTCACAGAACATGTTGTCTTTTCTTTACGATTTTGGTGCCAGAAGGCGAAACAGGAAACTTTGCAATAATGATGAGTCACCGTCCGGCATCCCATCAGATGAAAGTCAGATTACCGCAGCAGTGCGGTGGATCCTATTATCCTGCAAATTACTGTCTTGTCTTGTCTCGTGTCGGTGTCGCAAGGATTTAAAGCAACGAAAGCATTACAATTGAGATGAACGTAGGAGTTGGCAAGTAGGTGGGGGATTAGAAGGCGACACCGATTCATTGTGTTTGGTGTGATATTTTTAATAATGTCACATTGCCAGATGTGCACAGGAAATGATAATTTCCCAGTGCTCTAGGAGATAATCCTGGTGCTTATATCCACTTGATAGATAACCGTCCAACATGATAGCTACTAATACCAAAAAGTCACCGAAACTTTTCTCATTTAAAGAGGACTACCATTAGACTTCCGTAATGTGATAGATGCTTTGCAAGTTATGATTGTCTGAGCTCAGGCAAAATTATGTATCCCCATTTATGACTTTCTGCTTCTTGGCAGCCTCTGTAATTATCTACTATGTAGACTTTGAAACTCAGTCTGACTGTCAATGATGTTATACGTTTCAGTTCATGACCTAGTAACTTGTAGAAATGAAATGGAGATATTTCAGTGTGGAATGGTAAGAACATTTGCTTATTCAATCTTTCTAAAAAGGTTCCTTACCTTTTCCTAGTCCCACCATGGAAGGGTTCCGTCAAGTGGCTATTATGAATTAAAAGGGTTAAATATAAAAATAGACAAAATACAAGTACAACCCATACAGTTTTTGAGGTCATATATCCACAACTTAAGGATTATGAGATTGTACTAATGAGGGTTTATCACTGAGCCTTTAATTCTAAACATGGCTGAAGAAGCAAATCCCTTGCAACAACTGATGATATTGAATGCAGCTGATGATCTGCTTCTTACATGATCAAGTCTCGAGATACTAGTAGGGGTCAAGGTAAGAAATATGTGATTCTGCTGTTGGAGACAAAGATTTAACGTATGTACAAAATGTATGCGACTGCTGTTTCAATGTGTTCGCTCCCATACTTAGGATATGAATTTCTACCAATATGTATGGTATATTGAGAAAAACAATTACTGAGAACTTGCTCTATATTCACAGCTGTTAGCAGTCTCCAGTTTACTTCATCTGCCAAATAGGTTCTGGTATAGTTGGGTGAGCTGTAGATTGCATTAGCTCCCTCCAGCTGGGGTACACCAACGTTCTATCAGTTCCAGGGTTAGGCAGTGAAGAGAAGATAGATAAGTTTGAATGCTAAAGCTCCAGTGACTGCCCTAAAACTTCATTATGCCAAATTGTTCCCTGACAACTGCATTACCTCCTCCCAGCTGAGGTGTCCTTTTGGCACCAACTTTATCTCGGTTACGAGGTTAGGCAGTGGAGAGAAGAAGGATAAGTTTGAAATGCTAAAGCTCCAGTGACTGCCCTATCAACAACCTCTACTAACACGTATTCCTGATTCCTTAGCTGTGTTACCAGACCTGACATTCATGATTTACTTCATTTGTCATGAAAGTGTCGGGACAGGAACATGTCTTCTTGCTGTTAACATTCTACCCACAGCGTTAGCCTCTCGGAATCAATTTGTATTAGTTACAGGGTCAAACTCGGGCATGGTGTGAGGGATTGCACTATTCCTATAGAATATAGGGACTAAATCTGGTGGCCCCATGTATGGGGGAACTTCAGGCTTAAGCCTCCAGCCTCAAACCTTTGCACATAAGAGAACCCAACACACTTAATGAAGAAGAGTAGGGGTTTCCCAGTGTGCTTGTTTTGAAATATGGGACATGGCAAGCCTGCTAGTCTCTGAAGTTGGCTGCTTTACAGTTCAAACTGTTATCAAATAGTGAGAAGAAGGATAACAACTTTGCAGTTCTAGTTACCCCCAGCGTGATGCACAAACACTATTTCTTCAGAATGTCCTTAGGTTGGCAGTTAACCTTTATGAAATGGAAACATTAGCCAAACTGTGGTCTTTAACAAGAGCATCTTAGTTCCTCCCATTAAACCACACCAAAATCAATTTCTGTCATCTATCCTTAACTTTTGGCTCAAGCAGCTTTAATAGTTCCCCCCACATGCATTTCTTGAAACCTTTGAACAGCACTCACCATTTTCCCTACACCTTGTTTCTTTCAAACAGGAGATAACGTTCTAACTCTAATATTGCTTTATATGGATTTTGGGACTTTTTTTCTTCACAACCAGGGATTCTTCCTACTTTGCTTACGTTTCGATGTCTATCAGACACCTTCCTCAGAGCTTCTGAGTGGAGTACTGCCTCTCGCAGCTACGTATATGTAGTCGATGTAGGTGGCGCTTTTGCGGCAAGAACACAACCCCAAATGTGACTAAGTTTGTATCCCCCCTCATCCCGGTTCATCACTGGCGTTGACTTTCTTATCAAAATGTAAGCAAGGTGGGAAGAATACCTGGTTGTGTATAAGAAAGTCCCAATATCCTATGTTCTACCAACCTGATAAAATTATTTTTGGAATCTAATATTGCTATGTCTTATGTTCAACTCTGTTCCAGGCTGCCATCAATGTTCTGCTGGACATCATTAAAAGAAAGGACCAATCCGGCGAGGCTGGTCCCCAGGGGAAGAGGAGGAGGAGGAGGACGGGAGGGTGGGGTGCTCCTCAGGCCCATCATCTGCATATGTAATGACCTGTAAGTATAATATGAAACAAGTTTGAACTCACTCATATTATTGACTGTACAACTCCAGTCTTTGTCAAGGAATGAACAATCCACTGCTTTGGTGACATCATGCAGATAACACACGTGACTCCGTGAGCAGTGGATCATAGGTTGCAGAAAGTCTGTGGTGCCCCCGTCTCTGTCGAGGGATGGTTGTAATGCCCTGATTTGTTGTGTTGGATCCTGCAGTTCAAACTTGTTTTATAATAACTTCTACCAACACAGCTGAACATTCAAGATAACCTGTAAGTATAGTTGTAGATTTGAACTTTGTTCCAACACAAGAAAAGAACGGTACCATAAATTTTCTGTTGATCTTGTCAACCTTTGTCAGATGTATGATCCACTCGCTGACTCCAGTTGACAAGATTGACCAAAAAATTTATGGTGAGTTCCTTTCTTGTGTTAGACAAAGTTTTAAGTCTACAACTATGGATTCTACCAACACAGTGAGCTTTTATTCGGCCTGTAAGTGTAGTGAAAGAGTGAAAGTCATTGTGAAAGTGATTTAGAACCGTTGAGCATGAAGAGTAAATCTTTGGTCGTAACAGAGAAGACAGACGCTATGTACACTGGGTTTATAGTACCAAGCTCTTTTCAACAATTACAATGAACAATGGATGGATTAACTTCCTGTCGTAAGGAGTATCGTTTACGTCAGGCAAGCGTATTGCTGACATAAATTGTCTATTAGAGCTCACAGACTTGTCAGGCGTGCTATTCTCCTGCTGTGTAATACCAGCATTAAAAACAATATTATCACGCACGCGAGTCTGGAATGACGTCAATAGATGAATGCGAGCGCAGAATCCGTATTTAAAACTTTTGTCTTGCCTTCCTGTTTACCAGAACCCTGCTGGGTCTTTGTAAATCTACGCATTGATAGCATCAAACAACACAGCACCAGCGTCGCAGTAATTAGAGAATCACCTGCAGGTGTCGGCGGTTGTAACTTTGATGAGGTCCCTTGTTACACAGAGCTGAAGTAGGCCTCTATATTTGACCACCAAACTGTGGATAATGAGGTCATTGGCGTGATCTCTTTGACATTCGTGACTTCCACGCCTTTCTGAAATTTACGATAGGCACGAGAGGTGAAATGTTTTAAAGATTCACCGGCAATTAGAGAATCACCTACAGATGCGAGTGGCTCCTTGGTATCTTTGATTGGGTCCTTGAGGGAATGGTCCCTTGTTACATAATAATAAAGCTTGAGGTTAGTGTCATAGACCTAGAATCAGAAGGTTCCATGGGTCCTACGAATGTAATCACTGGCAGGCCCTATTGTTGTGCCCTTGGGAAAGGCACTTTGCACCAGTCCTGTATTTCCTCACTTGACTCAGATAAAAATCATGGGATAGGGATGCCCCCTCATATGGGACGTGAGGCTGGAGGTCCTGTGTTAAGGGTAGCCACACCTTGAGCATGTCAAAGATCCCAGCATACTGACTGAAAAGAGTACTAGTATACGTAGTCCTTCCTGGTGTGAATGCTCAGGTCTCTGGGTTGACATCTTGCAAAGGTGGTAGCCACCTGTTATATGTCAATCCTTCCACAGATGTGATAGATTTCGATAAATAGAAATTTAGAATAAAGATAAAATGAAGCAGCAAAATCAAACACAGAATTTCTTTGTAGTATAAATGTCAAATAGGAAAGTTTTTAAAAGTCTTTGAGGTAGAAGAAACAGATTGATTAGCTTAAAAACTCATTTGAATTGAATGTTTTTCCAAAACTTGTCAGTGGTACCAATCTCTGCCCTAGATACATTATGGATTGTTTTCTGTGAACTGTAGTTCTGAGGTCTTAGACCCTAGAGCAAAAATAGCCAAAAGGTCGAAAACTGCATTACAAAGTCTCTGAAAGCTCTTTGTAGTGATTTGATTCCTCTCATGAGAGGATTGTTTGTCTTCATCTCTGGGATGATATACGTGGATCATGACGACCACTTCAGGGTAGCTTCAGGCATGATGTTATCATCAGGCATCCCTGAAACTAGCAGCAGGGAAAATGCATTGATGTGACAACTGGGTTGGTACAACTAGACTCCTGGGCTGGGAGGTTAGTGATTGAGGGGTGAGTGTGCAGACTTGCTGGAAACAGAAAGGACTGGAAAAAAACTCACAGTCACCTGCATCTAGCAGCCTACAGAAGAAGAGGGAGAAGAAGGTTGTGCATGTGAATGAGAGAAACAGTCTGAGAGAGAAGATAGGATTAGGAATCCACCTGAGTGTACCCATTACAACTTAATGAAAGATGGAAAGACAAATTGGTCATTTTAAGAATAACCCAAATACTGGTGTTGCTGGCAAAGGACGATTGTGTTTAGTAGATTAGGAATCCACCTGAGTGTACCCATTGCAACTTAATGAATGATGGAAGGACTTCTGGTCATTTTAAGATTAACCCAAATGCATCAGTCAGTATTACTGGCAAAGGACATTGTGTTTGGTCTATTAGAATTACCCTGGGAGCCAGACTAGTATTGGTCCGCTAGCTTGTTCCCCTCAGTGGCCAAAAGCACTATGCCCGACTATTTAAATTACTGCAATGGGGAGTTGAGCCCAAGGGGAGTTGGCCTGCCCTTTTACTAATGAGCCCAAGTTTAATTTTTTTTAGTGAAAGGGCCAGCCAACTCCCCTCAGGCTCAACTCCCCTGTTGCGCTAATTTAGATAGTCAGGCCATAGTGCTTTTGGCCACTGAAGGGAACTGGGTAACGATACGATACTAGTCTGGCTCCAAGGGTAGTTAGATTTGTTGTCAGTAATAACCTTTATTGTAAAGATCCTGGTTCATAGTTTTAGCCTTGGTGCCAGATTCAAATAATTGTCGTTGCCGTTACAAATCGGATGGCACCCAGGCTATCATAGTTTGGGAGTTTGTAGCAGTTTGCTAAGTGTACCATGTCCTCCTAGCCTAAGTTTCAGTTAGGATTTTCCATAACTACAGCTTTCAATGATGATTAATTCTTGTCTGACCTGAATAAGTCATGTGTAATTCAATATGTTATTTGGCACCATGGTGCTGATATTATCACAATGATTATCAAAGTTATTAAAAGTTTAACTGAACCTTATTAACCCTAATGACACCCAGCTGCCTGCGCTTTATTTTTTATCTTCCGTTTTGCCTGATACTGTGCTGTTGGTATAATTACAGATACCGGTGGAGTTTTGCCGGGTTGTGATAAGTGAGTTTGCCTGATGTGTTCCCACAGATATGTCTTGTCTCTGCGGCGCCTGCGTCCATTATCTCTGGTGCTGCACTTCCCGCCCACCGACTCCACGCGCCTGGCCGGCAGACTGTTGGAGGTATGTGCCGCAAATTGAAATGACAATCTTCTCTGTATGTACGTCACCAAACCCCAGCAGTCTCTCTGCGAAGTCTCTCAGGGAAGCCATTCGTTGATTATAACAATCAGACTTGATAACTTTATAGGATATATCAGTTACTCAAGCATGCATTACATAACAAAACTGCAAGCTGTATAATACTGCAACTGTTTGAGGTATGTGCCACAAATTAAAAGTGACGTCTTCTCTGTATGTACGTCAATGAACCCCAGCAGTCTTTCTACAAAGCCTACATTTGTTGAATCCAACAATCAGACGTGATAACTTAAGGATATAATTGTGTTACTCAAGCATGCATTACATAACAAAACTGCAAGCTGTAAAATACTGCAGCTGTTGGAGGTATGTGCCATAAATTGAAAGTGACGTCTTCTCTGTATGTACATCAATGAACCTCAGAAGTCTCTCTACAGAGCCATTCGTTGAATCCAACAATCAGACTTGATAACCTTAAGGATATATAATTGTGTTATTCAAGCATGCATTACATAACAAACTGCAGCTGTATAATACTACAACTGTTTGAGGTATGTGCCACAAATTAAAAGTGACGTCTTCTCTGTATGTACGTCAATGAACCCCAGCAGTCTCTCTACAAAGCCTACATTTGTTGAATCCAACAATCAGACGTGATAACTTAAGGATATAATTGTGTTACTCAAGCATGCATTACATAACAAAACTGCAAGCTGTAAAATACTGCAACTGTTGGAGGTATGTGCCATAAATTGAAAGTGACGTCCTCTCTGTATGTACGTCACCAAACCCCACTCTGTCTGTGAAGCTGTTTGTTGATTCCAACAATCAGCAGACTTGATAACTTAAGGATATATCAGTTACTCAAGCATGCATTACATAACAAAACTGCAAGATAGTAAAATAGTAAAATACTACCACTGTTTGGAGGTATGTGCTATAAATTGAAAAGTGACGTCCTCTCTGGCAGGTATGTACGTCACCGAACCCCAGCAGTCTTTCTGCAAAGCCATTCTATGATTCCAACAGTCTGACTTGATAACTTAAGGATATATCAGTTACTCAAGCATGCATTACATTTCAAAACTGCATGCTGTAAAATATTAAAACTATTTGAGGTATGAGCCATAAATTGAAAGTGACGTCCTCTCTGTACGCACTTCACTGAACCCCGTTCTGTCTGTAACATCGTTCGTTGATTCCAACAATCAGCAGACTTGATAACTTAAGGATATATCTGTTACTCAAGCATGTACTACATTTCAAGACTGCAAGCTGTAAAATACTGCAACTGTGAAATCAGATAAAATGCAGAAAGTGCATTTTCTGGGCAGCTCATTACCCACATTATCCACAAATGGTTACTTGCAACTTGGTTGATGGAGAGTGGGAACTGGCAAAGCAGGCAAACATAACTCCATGTGTAATGATACATTTTAAAGTGGTGTACCTATTGGGGTGCACTAAGTCATTAGGCCATTAATAAACTGGAAATAAGTAGTGGTTCTGAGCAGTAAAAAGTCACGACAAGTAAGGGCTGTGACCTCGTTGCTGCCAGTTACATTATTAAATTATTTAGCTCTCTTATTAGATAAGACTCCTTCCTGTCTTCTTTATTGTGGAAAACCTGGACTGTAAAAGATGAACTGATAAAGCAGATAATATTGAGTTCGCTCCACTGGCCTTCAATAGCACCTTACAAATCTTTTAAAGTTGCCTTTTGTCCATTTTTTTTAAATCACCATCTGGCTGCTTGTTGCTGGGAACATATCCAAGATCTCTTGCCATCAAAGGTTACATAATCAATTGTTGAGAACCAGAATACAGTGAGAAAACCACCTGCTTCAACATCTTCTTACCCTTTTGAGCAGCTTAATGTTGACCTTTAAAGAGTAAACCTTCCTATCTGCAGCCAAAATGATCTGACATTTAAGGCTCTAGAAGTTTAAGCAGCTAGTTTGTCTTCTTTATTTGATTGCTTGCGGGGAAACAGCGAAATCTTCACCTTAAGATGGTTTGACTTCCTATCTGGTTCCACGCCACCGCACATTCAAGGGTACAGTAAGATGACAAGTGATTCTGTTGGCTTTATTAGATCGCTTGTGGGCACAAAGTACGAACACGTTATCTTGGTTGTAGGAACATTAGGGTGCAGTGATCAGGGCTCAGAATGCCACCAGCATATGCAGATAGTGCACTTAAAATTGTTGTTGTACACTGCGCCATGCAGGTGTTTCTGATGTTTACATGCACCTAATTTGCATCCAGCTCTTAACAAAACAATCCTGCAACACTATGGCAAGTATGGTGGGCTCAGAATGCATTGTATTCTTTGTAGTAGCATTTTTGAATGTAGCTGCAGATAACAAGGTCCAAAATTATACTACTAGGAATATTTTCAAACATTGTTTGTTGACTGACGGAAAGGTGAAGAAAATGAGTGATGTACCAGTAGGTAAAGCTTGTCTGGTGCAGATGATTTTTAATGATACCTGGCGAAAAAAAGAATTTTAAGCCCTGCATGGATGTGCAGATTATATCACCAAAACATCCCGTCGTTTTAGATTAGTCACAGTAGGTTTGACTACATCATCCACCAGATGATCTGACATTTGCGATGCCTGTTGGGTGTAACAAGTGCCTTTTGTTGCCTGTATCAGATTGCCCGCAGGCAGAGTGTTCGGACTGACATGACGACCCTCCTGGCCCTGTGTGAGAAGACCGAGAAGGACATCCGGTCATGTGTCAACACCCTCCAGGTGGGATCCCGTGATTAATCCGTCAGAGAGGTGCCGTGAAATGCGTTGATACACCCTCCCCCATTATTGCATGCATTAAAGAAATGGGAAGCTGCGTGTGATCCTGCTTACGGCAAAGCAACCGACAACAGGAAATGAAAGATCTCACAGTCACACGTCTGTGAAACATTTTCCACCAAGGTTTTTGTATACTTCTAGTGACAAAGAAAGTTTCTATAATTATGATATAACAATGTCCAATTTTCACACAGTGCATATTCCATTATTGCACACATACATGCAATCCTACCCTTACTAAGTTCTTCCACAGTACCTTCCACTTCCTTGCAGCCTCCAGGAGACCATTTTGCATTTGACTTACAATTTGACATTCGCCCCTCTTTCACTCTACATTGTTTTCAAATACTAAGAAACTAAGAAAACACAAATACACACATAGAAAACAAGGCCCATGTACACAGAGGTAAAAATCACAGTAACAGGAAGTATTAGTTGGGGGGAAAAAGGAGTAGTACAGCGATGTGTTGATCACAAGCAACAAGTGTTCTCATTACAGTCATCAATCAATCAAAATTTATTGAAAAAAAATCGGAACAGAAAGGTACAAAACTTTCACAATTCCCGATTTAGAGGCTGGTGTACCAGTAGTCCTCCTGCTGGTTTTTTGCTGGTCCCGTAGGCACAGGAAGACCTAAGGTCTAAGGTAAGATTTGGTTCTTGAACTAAAAGCTTGGAGTTCAGGAACTATATTTTCGAACAATCACGTCTCATATAGCTCAAGCTGGGTGTGCCTCTGGGGATGCCACATCAAATTCGTATTGGCAGCGATACACACAACACACAGGCTACTCAACATGCCAACAGCGACACTGTGGGCACCTAACCAAGGCATGATTACATAACCTCCCGGTTAAATGGTCAACCCTGTGTGGGAAGGTTGTGACGTCAATTGTAAATTGTTTTTACGCTACAAGCATGATGTTAAAGGACAAGAAATTAGGCCATGTTAATGGGTAAGGTTACATAACCTCTGGGTCAAGGGAGTAATCCTGTTGCTATGATTTGTTGCCTGATTGAAAAGTCTTTTACGGTACCATTTACTGATGAAGTGTACCTCACACTCTCTGACTTCGAGCCTTAGGCATTCACAGAGAAAAATTGAAAAAAGTTGTCATCTTGGGAACCTAACATGCTCTCATATGTTAAGATTTTAAGCTGCAGGCTGGTATGTTTCCAGTGTGAGCCTGACAAAGTCACAGCTCCCTCTAGCTGAGTTACCACAAAGTTCAGCTTGTTCATCTTGAATGTACTGCACGTCTACATGGCCCATTGTCTGAACCAACCACAATGACACGTATACCAGCTTCAACAACATGTCCATTATGAGATCAAAGTTTTTCTAGTGCAGTGTCAACAGTTGGCCTTTCATTGATAGTCATAGTAATCAGAATTTGAATACCCAGCAGCCATGTTGGTGGCAGCAGCATGTAGGTGTGCTTAACAGACAGTGTAGAACCCTTAATTCTACAAGTTTGCACTTAAAAAACATAACTGTAGTATTCTTCAATGCACTTCACTGTAAAAAAATCGACCTCACCGTACAACCATACTGGAATATGGACTATGAATATTGATAATGTGAAAGTTAGTATATTTTCTGTACTTGTATATATATAGCTGTTATAAGTTATACAGTCAAACCTGCCTATAGTGGTCACTCAAGGGACTGGCCAAATTTGACCACTATGGCCAGGTGACCACTATAGAGAAACAGCCGGTTAGTTGACCCCCCCCCCCAAAAAAAAAGGGACACATGCTTTGAGTACCAACAGTGATGTCTTTATTCTGAAACATATGAATACATACTTTTGCAAAGGTAAACCCCTTTTATATGTACATGTCTTAGTTCAATAATTTGTTGTTCTTTTGCTTTAGTTGCACTTTATTTTGTACTTGCTTAAAAAAAAGAAATTAACAG